GAATTTTTACAAAACCATGTCTCCCAAGGATCTAACATTAAAAAGCACGGCTGTTGGTATCCTGATAGTGAATGCATGCAAAGTGAAATTCATTGGGACACAAAGGTAATATGAATACTGTTACGTCTCCGTTTGTTAATTCATTTTCCGTAACTTCGTTCCGACGAAACTTTAGCGACACAAATCCTTACTTAATGAAACTGGTTTATTCTTTCTGAATATAACTTTACGATACACTTAATTTCAACATTCGCGCTAAAACAAACGCTATAATGAACGTTAACTCCAACAATACTCTCTGACTGCAGATCAATTACTCACTTCCTACACATTGTCCTGTCACGTTGTCACCATCTTATATATACCAGACTACCCACAATCTAGGAAGGTTCAAGAAAGAAGTGGCGTGATACCAGTCACGTGACCTCGCTGACGCAACACTGCCCCTCCTTAGCATTGTTCGTCCCGAACAATAGCCACTTACAATAGACCAATAACAATTAACAATAACTTAATTAAATGTACAGAATTACAAACACAAAATTACACATCAACAAAGTCTCAATTTTACGGGACGTATCTTCTTCCGTACTGGTCTCCGTCTCGTTGGCTTCTGCTTCATATGGGGTTCATCTGCTTCATCAGGAATTGTCTTATCGTCGGTAATAGTCACATCAGTGGTAGTAACTTCATCAAGAGCTTCACCATTTCCCTTCTCAAAACTGAGTAGAGCTTCTTCTTCGACGGTGGCTTTTTCAGGTGGCACGTCTTCAACAGCGTCATTTGTTCTATTGTCCACTTCATCCCAACTGAAATGTCCTGAACTGTGATAATGCCAAAACCTGTTGGCATGCACCACTTTTGGCTTACCTCGCCGACCACATTTTATCTGGAAAGTCACGTCTAAGACAACTTAGGATACTTCCCTTTGGTCTTCCTGGGATTATACAACCATACCTTGTCTCTTGGTACTAAGCTGACTTCAGTAGATCTCTTATCATAAGTTAATTTCATCGAATCAGCAGACGTTTTCAAGTTTGAATGCACTTGATGGTGAATATCATCCATCCTTTCCAATAACACTTTCACAAACTCTGACACATTCTCAGGCAACTCTTCATAAGGTGGGCGTCCTGTTAACAGATCCACTGGCAACCGAAGTTCCCGACCAAACATCAACTTTGCTGGAGTCTACCCAGTGGTTTCATGCTTTGCTGTCCTATAGGCCATCAACAGTGGAGGGAGTAAGACATCCCAGTCATTTTGGTGGCTATTACAAAACTTTGCCAATTCCTGTCCCAGTGTCCAGTTGTACTTTTCTACCATCCCATCAAACTGTGTGTGAAGTGGCGTTGTCCTGGTCTTTCGGATGCCAAACAACTTGCTGCATTCTTGGAACACGGCTGATTCAAAGTTACGGCCTTGATCTGAATGCAGATCATATGGCATACCAAATCTGGAGAAGAAATCACTAATAGCCGAAGCTACAGTCGTAGCTTCCTGATTTGGTATTGCATATGCCTCAGGCTACTTGGTGAAATAATCTATCACCACACAAATGTACTTGTTTCCAGCACGAGTTTGGGGCAGAGGACCAGCAATGTCGACGGCCACTCTTTCCATTGGTGCACCAACTTGATATAAGTTCATTGGAGCACGTCTCTTATGCTTGGATCCCCTTTTAGCACAACATGTACTGCAAGTCCTGCACCATTCTTCTATATCTTGCCTCATACCTATACAGTAAAATCTCTGTTGTAGGTGACTCAATGTCTTCTTAACTCCAAGATGTCCTCCTGTTAAACTATCATGGGACTGACGCAGCACAACTTCCCGTAACTTTCTCGGTATAACTATTTGCCATGTCGTCGCTTACCCATCTGCAGTTTCCCATCTACGGACAAGACTACCATCTTCAAGCTTCAACTGGTCCCATTGTGCCCAATAGTTCTTTGTCACATGGCTTAAGATGGACACCTTCTCCCAAGCAGGCACAAAACACTTGCTTTAGGAATTCAATCATC